GATTTTTGACAGAGTTATCCCTCTTGAACTTGTAAAAAATAAGAAAATTTCAGTTTCCGCTCTCTAACTTTTGTAGGGATATATGTTTAAGGTTAAAATTGCATGTGCAGGTGTTTTACCAGAAAATACAGGTCAAGTTCTGGGAACCAGGTTTTTGTAAAATGAAAAATTTATTCAACCCCCCACTTTGGATTTCTGTGTAGTGTAAATAAATCACTGTCCCTGGGGCTAGGGTAGGGTCTCAATGTGGGGTCTCTGTTACAAGAAAATGTATGGGAAAAATATTCTTCTCACGAACAGCAGGATCATAGTTATTTGATAAGCAAGCATCTTAATGAAGTATAGAGTCAAGTTTTGTGTAAAACATGCTCAAGTGAGCTGCCTTGTGGAGAATTGTTGTGCCTTACACGTGATTAATTAGTAATAATTTGTTTATAGTACACAAGACTTCAAACTAATGTTTTCCACAGTTTAACTCTTTATTATTAGATGCCTTTTACAGCCTGCTGTTACAATAGATTCATTCTTGACTAACTGTAATACAGGATTAGACTTCAACTTTTGTCACCACAAGCAAAATTTTGTTTGCAAGCTAAATTCAATTTTCACAAGCTAAATTGGGTAATAAAAGTTTACACTGTTAAGCATGCTGTAATTTGTCACTACTGAATAATGGTTTTGTGCTAACAGTGCTGTCAACTTACTATTGTTCCTACTTTCTTTTTTAGGGGTGAAACGATACACCTCCTTCACGGTTCGATACGTATTGTATAATTTTGTCTCAGTACGGTTATTTTCGATACGATACATTTTGATAGAAGGAAACAAATTCAACGCGTTGTTTTATGCTTTCTTTTACTAAATCTAGTCACTTAATTTACGAATTTTTATTTGCAAATTGACTAGAAGAAATGGATTAGATTGATTTGACTGTCAAAATTATGTTATAAACTATCAGTCCTCAAAAATTTACGTTTTCTATACTTACTTACACTGAGTAACGTGTTTTACCTTATGTAGACCTGACTGAATAACGATCCCGACTGAAAAATGAACCGAACCGAAAATTAGAGATTTTGCACCATGTATCAAACTGAGAAAAAATACCGCTGTGAATCGATACTGCGGTGAATCGTTTCACTCCTATTCTTTTTCATGTGTTGAAATTTTTTTTTTCATAATTAAGATTGATTTTAATTCAAAAAAAAAGATAATTTGTTTTTTCCCTGCTTGCACAATTTAGCTTGCTTAGTTATTCTTCGCTTGCTTTCTGTTAAATTCACTTATTATAGCTAGCGAGTAAAGAACAGTTTATAACTGCTTCTAAGGGAGATCAGCTTTGCTTAGTCGATTTTGATGTAAACAAGATTCATATGTTCAAGATTTATGGAACATTGTATGGTTTAGTTTTTGTTTTTACTTTTTATGTTCTTTAATGAAAACTTGAAACTTGTTTTTTTAAAAAGAACTTTAAAAAAAATATTTATTATATTAATAAATATGCATTTAAACTATTTTTTTGATGTAGAGGCAGATTTCTGTGGATGTCTCAATGAATAGAGGCAAAGGAAAAGGAGAGGAACTGATCAATTTATACAAATAGACAAATATTCACAGATAATTTATTTCAAGCCCAAGAAGGAGCTTAAGTTTGTATGAAATGTTTTTGTTCAAAATTTAAATATGTACATTCTCTGAAAGAAGTTTTTGTCTATGATAATCATTGTCTCTATATTCTTGTGACTCATCGCCGAGACTAACGTAGATCGAGGTCTATGTTCTGCTCTTTATTCAAACAAGCCTTAGTAGTTTTTTGCAACTTTCAGGATTTAGTTCTGTATGCAGAGTACAGAGTCTGCATGTCTCAGAGCTGTTTGTCTGCTCAGTTTATTGATTTCAGACACCTAATGGAGTTGATTACATTTAATTGTGAATACAGGACATACTTCTAAACTCCCAAGTATTATGCTCTTTTTTCTGCATGGCCCAGACAATAAATGAGCATGTTTCCTGTAGATGTTGCCCACTTGTGTGTTTACTGAAGCTCCAAATCGTAGGATATGCACACAGCTGCACACGTTACTATTTTTCTGAGATCTCTCCAGGAATGAGTCATCCTGCCAGCATTATACTGGTACCACATTCTAAATCAACACTGGGCAAATGGAATGGGGAAATGATTGAATCTACAATACAAAATGTAGTTATTATGACCTGCCAAGACACAATGTAGGCCTAGAATAATTCATTTTGTCTTCTTTTAAGTAACACTAATCTAAGCAAATAATGAGGTGTAATAATAAATACTGCATTGGTTAATTGTACATCCTTTAAGATGCTGGATGAAATTAAGACTTTGTTTTCTCCATAATCCTCACCCCCCTCCTATTAGATTGAGTTAAATATTAAAAACTGCTATTGTACACAAAGTGCTGGTACAATTTTAACCACTTACATGTAGGTGTATTAAATAATGCAGGGCAAAATGCATTATGTGTAATTTCTACAAAAAATTTCAAGGAAAAACAGAGGACAAGTTGTAAGACAATTTAAACAAAATTTAAATATAATTGACAGTCCTCTTGAGCATTCTGAAATTACAGTGATAAACTAGCTGTTTCAAAATTTAGTAGGCAGCCTATGGAATCATGAATAAAATACAGGAAACAGATTGTCAAGAGGGGTCATGTGATACATAAGTATCATTGAAATCTCTTGTTCCGTGTATCAAACTTGTGACATTTTTTATATTTGTGTTTATCTTGTTTGGGACTGTTATATTCTTGATACTGATGTACAATGTGTATAGGACTAGTGACATGGGTTTTTGTTATGGGGACCTTATGTTCTAAATCACAGAGGTTAGAACAAGCTTGTCCTCTATCAAATATTCTTGGATCAAACTTTGTCAATGTAAAAATCAATAAATTTGGCAAAATATGCCTACAGTGAACTGTCATGAACACCCTTTCATTATGTCTATAGTTTGTTTTATATTCATAACTTTATATTATTATATTATAAAAATGAAGTATGACTTTGTTATAAGTAGAGATTCTCTATAGATATAATGGGGGTATACAAGTTTTATAGAGCCTGTTTTTTTTTTTTTTAATACATGTGATAAGCATGATTCGAGTGCTAAATGAGAGTTACCGGTAATTAAAAAACTCAGATTTATGACAAGGAAAATCTTTCTTATTTTATAGTGAACATAGCTAGCATGTCAACATATCACCTTCCATGCTATGTGTTTGAATTTAAAGATTTCTTTAAACTGTACGATTTACTTATTTGGTAATTTTTTTTTCAGCTGTGACTATGGTTACGAGAAAAGAAGAAGAAACTATTCCAGAGAGAGATCTCCCACACCAGAACGCCACACTCGTCGCCACCACCACTGTGATTCTGACAGCTACTCATCCCATCGTGACAGCTACCACAGTCGTCACAGACACCACAAACGCAGGCGGCATCGGCGCAGCTATCGTCACCACCACAAATCCACATACAGCTCAACTTCTAGTCGGGTAGGTGTCGCTTCACCTGGGGTGCATGTACTTCTCAGGGCTGTCATATCTGAGAGATGTCATGTAAGATAGAAAAGACGATCAAGGTTACAGGATCTTAAGACTTGATATACCTTGAAAATTTTAAACAAAGAACATGGGTCAGAATTTAAGAGAGAGACATATATAGATCTTTGTTTGATTTTTACAACCTTGTGCTTGGTCCAAAGTAAACTTGGTCACTTTTCTATGAAGAGAAAGTGGATGCGAATGAAAATGTGTGAGTGATGTAAAATGACTAGGAAATCTTTTGTAGGTGATCAGAGGTAAGTCGACCAAAAAAAAAAATCAAGGGGGTCCTAATATGTTAAGTTTATAATTCAAGCAGCAAAACTGAATGAGATGAATATTTTAAGATCAAGCATGAGGCACAGATAACCTCAAATCATGAATGCAGAAACAGTTTTAAGGCTGTTGTGTAGTGTGTGTGCAAAAATATGCTATTAGCCATATCAGGAGCTTGTAAGAATTGCCACTGAACTAAAACATCACAGTGTAAAAAATATACATTTTTTATGATTTTCTTATTTTTCTTCGGATTCCATAAACCTGTACATTAATTTTATTATGATATTTCTTGTGAAATAGAACAAAAAAGTTGATACTCTTGAAAGGAAGAATGATTCAAAAAGAATATAACAATTTGAGGGGGAAATGTTACTTGAACTTTTACATTATCTTATGTCACATCATTGGAAGCTTATTCCATGGCTGTCACTTGTTTTTGGGGTGGGTGCAAGAAGGATGTTGGCTTTTGTCCCATTCCTTTGAGGAAGTGCGTAGATACATAATTATAGTGATGTATTAATGGGATTAAGAGAGGGAGAACAGCTCAGACAAGGGTGGGGGAGGTAAAAAAAAATGAATGAGTAGATGATAAAAATAAAAAACAAGGAAAATAGGAAGTTTGATGTATGTTGGTTCATTATGAACCAAGAGTCTATTTTATTAAGAACACATGCACTTGTCCAATTGTCACTTAAAGTTTTCTTTCAGAACAGCTGTATGTTACAGGCAGGTGTTCTTATGGTCGTAGTAGCAAATGAGAAACAGCACTGTCTTTTCAAGGGCTAAGGCTGTTGAAATTGATTTTAGAAGTTTAATTGTTCCATAAAAGGTTAGGACTGGTTTTCCTCATTGTGTAGGCTACAAGATTTGTAGCAAGTGTGTAGTTACTGTGAAATTACACCCAATATAGTGCATTAAGTCCTGAGATTTAATCAATAATCACACTGAATAAAAATTAGTTTGGGAGCAGGGTTTGATGGTGAATTTTTAACTACAGTTTCCTGATAGTCTGTGAACAGGTTATGTAGCTTGGAAAACCATTGATTTCCATTTGTCGGGGGAAAGATGAGGTGATAGAATACTGGTATGTTTATCAAAATAATTGAAGTCCAAGAAGTTCCTTTGTCTTGGATGGAAATGTAGGCCTGAAAAGTGTGGACTCTGCTGTCAATGACAGTGATCTCAGAATATTGGATTACTATCTGTCTTGATGTGGATTCAATATGGTATTGGTGTACAGATGGCAGGGAAATGAATAGGCCTGTCATTGACTATAGGAAACAGTCCAGAATGGCTACTTCAAGTTCAGAGGAAATTCTGTGGCATGAACTCTGTGTCATAACAACACTGCATCATTGCCTTGTAATACTAACAGACTGGTCATTGGATCTTTTCTAGAAGGCAAACTGACTAAAAACAACAATGGGTTAATCTGCAGTAAGATTGACTGTTTATCTCTGAGGATCAGAAGTGTTGCAGCATCTTATCTTCTGTGGGGGTAGCAGAGGGATTGCCTTATCCCCTTAACCTCTGGTGTATATAAGAACTGACCACCCCCTGGGGAGAAATTAGTTGTTGTCTGTGTAGGTGTCTGATTTGTTGACCATCTGGTGCCTTGTATTCTTTGGTTGCCCCAGCAGCCTTCCCCCCTTGGTGAGCCCCAGCAGTTAGTAAGTCTGAGTGTATGTGAAACTATTAATAGCCTATGATTTTTGGAGAAGCTAGAAGGTGCTCTTGTGTAGGAAATGTGATACTGGCTTATATTCTGAGTAAGAAGCCAGAACATTGGAGAAGAGGGCGCCATCTTGTATAAAGACCTCTTTTCATATTTCGAGGAATATTTTCTGAGGATTGTGAGATTGTTGTGAATAATTACATGGTGAAAGTTAAAGAACAATCTCAAGTGACTTTTAGACAAGTGCCTGTGGAGTTACTTTACTAATTATGGAGGGGAATCCATCAGTCATGTAGTGGAAAATTACCTACATAAAAACAGTTATTTTGTATATATTCAGTTAAGGATTTTAGTAGTTTTATTGTATTAAAAAGATAACTTTTTCTTTCATTAGAGACAGATTGTACATAGTTATTTATTTAATTTTGCTTTCAAGAATATCTAAAAAATTTTAACCTTCATGTACAATTTGAAGTAGCAGTTATATTTTGAACAATCTAGTACAAGCAATTAAGTGATAGTGAAAGAATTTCAAGCTGAACATTTTTGAAGTGACAACTAAATAGCAAGTGATAGAGGATCCTTACTTTAGTGCTTAGTAAGA